TCTTAGATATATATATATATATATATATATATATACAGATATAATATAATATATATACTGTATATAATATATATACAGATATGTATCCTATTTCAGGAGGACTCTCGGATAGAAATAATGTTTAAAAAGTAACCTAACTTACCTTGCATTGGGCATACATAAATATTAAAGTACAAAGCATTAAACCATTTCTTTAACCAATCTATGTCTCTCTTATTTTACTGCTCATTTAAGACCAGTGCATCATGAAAATTCACTGAAGATATTTTAGATATATGGTACCAAACATTTTTCTGGACAATGAATAATTAAATATTTGGTACTTTTCCGTTTCGGGTGTCTTACATTTATGCTATGTGATCGCAAGTTTTTTTTTTCCTTTTCTGTTTAGCTATTACTATCTACATGGTGGTTCAAAATTACATGTCAAGAATGTAAGGGAAATAGAGGAGGCCTAAATAAGCATATTTCATAATGGAGCATGAGTGAGGGTATATATCATTGTTGCTCACTAATATAACTTGCTTGCTATGCTAATGTTGATTACTTTCGAGACGCTATTGTAAACTGTTATTGTAATTTGTTTGTTAACTGACTAATTGTTTCCAATTGTTAACTTTTTCTAAATCATTGTTTTCTTTTGTCCAAATTGAATTTTTACTCCCTTATGGTTAATGCTATTTTACTTGCTAGAGCGCTTACGCTACATTTTCGCATCGACATTCTTATACAAAATCAAACAGTTTGCAAGACATGCTTGAAATAACGATGACCAACAGGGATACAAGATTCACAGTGGTGCACCGATTATTATACATTATTAAGCTAACGCTCCAACTATCGGCTTAACGCTGATAGACACACTCACACATTCGTACATTCAATATGCTTATTTAGGTCCCATTTGCTTCTCTTAACATTTTTGACTTATATTTTTGAGCAACTTTGCATATAAAGAAATAGAAAAATATCCGTTTCCAAAAATATGCAGCAGTAGCTTGTTTACATCACACTAAAGCTCCGCAAAGGTCTATTTTTATTTTTTATTTTATAACCGTCGTTGAACAGTCGACTAAATTTTATGGGTTTACGACTACTAATGTTCAACTCCGTAGCTTTATAATTTTGAACCCAATCCAGAAGACAAGGGATTGAGTATTGGGAGAAATTTGCCTTCGTGCAGGACTTTTTGGTGGAGATAATCCGCATTTGCGTTACATGGAGAGGAAGACCACGAGAACCACCCACAGTTTGCCTGATGGTAAGGCGACTCTAACCCATGATCCGTCTACCACTGAAGATATTTCACGTCAGCAACACGGTCGGTGTTAGCCGGATGCGGAATTCATATCGACTGGGCTGGGACTCGATCCTGGTTCGCCTCATTGGAATGCGAATGCTCCATCCCCTGAACCATCGCGGCTCTACAAAGGTCTATTTGCGACGGTCTGGGAAGCAAAAAATTCATTTTTTTATTGTTCATGTTCTTTTTACTTCATTTATTGCTTCAGCCATTGTTTTTTCTTTTAAACAAATGTGTTGCACATCATTGTCTTCCGTAAGACTTTCAATGCTGTTTACTAAATTTTATTGTAAAAGTTTTTTTATATGTATTATGTAATATGCAATTTTTTATAATAAATTCCCTCTGATCAGGCCAGCTCACCGGATTGTGGCGAGCTGGACTGGTAGCCAGACGTGGACTATACGGGTAAGGTTTTTGCAAACCTAGGTACGTGTCCACGTCTGGAGGAAAGGAAAGGTCTGGGAAGCATCCCTGAGGAAAATCCGAAGGCGAGCCATCACAATTTTGTTCATCTGTAGAAGGGATGGCTCATTAGCTTCAAGAATCAGACGACATTCTAGCTGAATTGAGCTATTTATGGCAGAACAATTTAACGAAGACCGATTCCCCTCACTCGCGGTCTCTACAAAAACTGATCAAGGGAGTCAACCCCTCACCGATCATAGCCAGTGATACTAGATTTCTGTGTCCCACTAAAAACAGAGCCCTACAATCAGTCTACTGTGGACCCAAAAACTGTTCCTTGCATTAAATAATACTTAAAAGCTGGTGTACGTCTATTTCCAGTTACAGTTATGCATCTTTAATTTTATAAAAAGCAAATAAGAATTACTCTTTAAAATTGGATTTACATCGTATCTATATTGAAAAAAATAGCTCAAAATATGGAAAAAATTAATAAAAAAATCAGAATATTTTCAAAGTTATTGCGTTTATGTAAGAATAATTTTATTGCATTTATAGACAATAGCAGATATTTAAGCCATTTTCCCCGAAAATGGATTTTCATTGTTAGTCACATCCACAAAGTCCGTCGTTGTGCGACTTATCAAGAAGTGGAATTACACATTCCTGCAAAAAAAAACACTAAATTCAAAACAGATTTGTTGATTTATAATATTTATTGTTATTAGAGGAATTTTCGCTTATATAAGAAAAAGGAAATAATGCTCACCAATATTAATGATAATTTAAATTTTTCCTTCGCTTTATCTAGTGTTTCGTAAAGAAAACTTCTCAAAATTATATCAAAAGTTTTATATATTAATTTGGGCAATTCGTTCGTAAAAAAAAGTAATACCAATAAATTACAAAACTCCTTATTGATTGATTTTCGAATTTATTCACTAATTTAAATTTTAATTTTCACGGTAGTTTACTTTAGGTACAAACTAGAATCATTTAATGAATTATTGTGTGTCTGCATTCTGAAATAATTGTTTTTACTAAAAATTGAGTAGTAAAAATAAGATCACGGACTCAGATTTCATATTAGTTCTAACGCTGTCCGGAAGATTAGTTTCGTTTCAATTGACTATATGGTAATATAATTTCAGTAATATAGGATTGTTTTATTTCCCCATGCCTGTGAACTAATGCTTTAATGCTAAATTATAATTAAATTTAATAGAAAAAAGACACTTGTTAATAGTTAAGCAAATACACACGGTTACAAGTAATTCTTGTTATTTAAAGATTGATAAATCATTCTATTTATATTATCTTCTTATCTTTATGGGAGAATAATGCTTTGATGTCAACTTTAAACAAGTTGGTAAGCAATAAGCATAAGTAAAGAAGTAATCCTTGATATTTTATGATTGAAGGTAAGGGATTCTGTTGTTGTTACTTATCTCCAAAGGTCTGACAGCGTCAGACCAGATCTATAAATCTGTTGACTAGTAAAAAGTCGGAAACAAGGAGAGGAGAAGCGAAAATTGCTTCCCGAAGAAGTCCCAAGCAGCTTAAAATTTGTTCAGCTGAAGCCTGATGTTGGTGGCGTTTTGGGCAAAGAAGGTAGGATTTTATACCCTGTGAAAAAATAAGACATTTTAGATGTCCACTGACAAGGCGTGAAAAGCAAGTATTGGTTTTTCTGTCGTATGGAAGAATCAACGACTGTCCCGGCTTACTAGCCCTATACAAGTCGTGAGTGAGGGGGCACGGGCCAAATTCTCTTATTTAAGTTTTTCATCTGAGAAAAAATTTCTAGGTAGGTACGTTCATCAGATGCAGAAGTTGGCAAGCTGCAACCATCCTTTGCCAGACAGTCTGCCTTCTCGTTACCAAATAGATACACATGGGATGGGATCCACCGGAAATGAATATCATGTTGAAGTTAGATGCACTTCAACTTGTGAAGGACAGATATTTTTGTCTTATAGCCAATATAGATCTAATTATTAAGATGTTCCATTGAACTTCGGCTATCAGTCAGAATCCAGAGATTTTAATAATCATTTTCCCGCCAAATGGCTTCAAGTATCACATTCACTGCTAGTAACTCACTTCTAAAAACGGAACAGAAGTCTGGGTTACGTTCCATAATCATTTTCCCTCCAAATGGCTTCAAGTCTCGCATCCACTGCTAGTAACTCACTTCTAAAAACGGAACAGAAGTCTGGGTTACGGTTACGTTCCATAATCATTTTCCCTCCAAATGGCTTCAAGTCTCGCATCCAGTGCTAGTAACTCACTTCTAAAAACGGAACAGAAGTCTGGGTTACGTTGACTAAGAGTAAAAGTTTTGTGAGGTGTTTCAATATACCTGCAAGATTGTCCATAAGAGATTCTATCCATAATCTCTGCTTATCTGTGACGGTGAATGATGCTTTGATTCCAATTTTTAACAAGATGTTTGGAAGCAAAATAATGGTCTATATTGATGCATAGTAATTTTCTTGGTGCAAAAATTATATATTTATTAATTCAATGCTTTTTGACCCATTAATAAAATAATGGGAAAATATTATATTTTGGCATATTATTTTTTAATAAGTCCAAATCACTTTTCGTGTTAATTTTCACTTAAGATTTTTTACAGTAGAGATAATAAATAAAAAATCTGATTTTTTTAATAAATTTGTTTCAAAAAACTTTTTTTAAATTATCTTATATTTTTTACTTAGTGTAAATGAAATAAATTCGTAATTTAAAACAAATTTTTTTGATTTATAAAAAAACGCAAACCAATACTTAGAAACGTTTCATAATATTCTTTCCAAAGTTGCAATTAATACAATTACTTTAAAAATGTTGGTTACTTTAATAATGCCTCTAAATTAAAATATCGGAAACGGTGCTACCGCCATTTAATTATTTTTATTATTATTTTTCTTTGCAAGCAATTTTAAGACTTAAAACATTTAGATTACGTAGATGTGCTAAAAATGCAGAAAGAGTATGAAGGGATACAAAATATAACATTTGAAAGTTATTTAATGTTAAATTTGTCAGAAATAATATCATATAGGTCAATATATCACTATAAAAGACGATATATTGCTACATAGCTACCATAAGCCTCTATATTACTACAAAATTTAAATTCGATATGGTTTGTTTATAAACTCGTTTTGCTTTAACTTAAAAATATTTGTTTATTAACAATATGCAATAATTCTTATTTATTATAGAATCATTTCTATCTAATAATTGTATATTTTTAGGGAATTTAGGAATTTAATTATAAAACGCTTTCTTAATTGTCAATAATCTATAATTTGTATAATTTTTAACCCATCTGTAAGCATTTTTTTATGCATTCAAATTTCAATCTACTACGTATCTATTTTCATTAATGTTATATTAAGATTAATATGAAAAGTATTAACTGTTTCTCGAAATGCAAACTTTTCAATAAAAATTACTGAGTTAACTTTAGAAATGCTTTATTTTCTTATATACTTACGATATGTTTTTTTTTCCAACTGTATAGAATACCTATTAATAACTTTATGATTAAGAAATAGCTTTATAAAATGTCGACATAAATTTAATAATTTTTTCTAGAATGACTTTATATTTAAAAATAAAAATAACAGCTTTAAGTATATAAACTACTTAACTTGTTGCAAACTCAATGAAAGTTGCTGAATAATGCATTGAAAAATTTAAAAGATTTTATAATTTCTTAAGAAATATCATTCAATAATTTCAATAGTAACATTATATGTATATATATATATTTATTTATAATAATTTAATAATAGTTTTCAATAAAATAAAAATTTTAGAAAAATATCATTAAAATTAAGGTACTTTTTTGAAAGTACCTTAGAAAGTAGTATAAGTAAAAGAAAGTAGTAGAAAGTATATTTCAGAAAATAGTATAAGGCATTTATAAGTTAGTACTATACAAAGAAAAAAATTTCGAAGCACTTACAATCAATATTCTTGAATTCAATCTCATTGAATTAATTAATAATGTAGAATAATTGTCAGGAAAAAATCAAGCTTGTTTATAATATCATTAGTTAGAAAATATTAAAATGCTTTGAAAATCAAAGTTTTTAAAATTACAAGAAAAGGCATATTGCTGCAGAAAGTGAGCTAGTAAAAAAACAAACTTACAACTAATTCATTCCATGATGTGCATTGTGAAACTCGGGTCGGATCATTGCAATCAATCTGAAAAAATTTATAAAATACTATAGTACTCTCTGTCTCTCTCTCTGCAGATATATATATATATATATAAATATATATATACATATA